GGGAAACAGTGTAGCTATTCCTCATTGCTTGCCGACGCCCCTCTGACCGCAACATCACCTAGAACCTGCATCCACAAAGGAAAATAACGGGGTGAGCACAAAATAATGCTCAGTAAGTAAAACTCTCTATCTGTCTGTCCCCGTATGAATAACTCTTAATTCTTTCCTTATGCTATCTCTGATTCTATTTCTGTTTCTAATAACATCATGGCCTCATCTTACCGGAGGTACGGCCGGATGGCGTTCACACAGCACCATCTCACTCTCTATGGCTATCGGGTGGAATTCACACAGTACCAACCCGTTCTTAGTGACTACCGAGTGAGGATCACAAAGCACCAACTCGGTTCTTTCTAACTATCGGGTGGAGATCACCTAGCGCCTACCCGTTCCTCATGAATTTTGGGTAACGATCACCAAGCATTTACCCGTCTCTAGTCACTATCGGGTGATGGTCACAAAGCATCAACCCGTTTCTACTAAATGTCGGATGATGATCACAAAGCATCAACCTACTTATCTATCACTAACCGGGTAGCGGTCACAAAGCATCTACCCATTTCTACTACTCATCGGGTGACGATCACAAAGCATCGACCCATCACTCTAAGGGCTATTCGGATGATGATCACCAAGCATCAATCCGATTCCCATAACGGTCGGGTGATGATCACAAAGCATCATCCCAACTATACTACTCTTCTAATTCATTCTATTGTAGCATTTTTCAATGCTCTCTACTCTTAGAGTAATTTTACCCACTAAGCTCTCTACTCATAGGGTAATTGCATAAACCATTTCCTTACACTTTCTTAGATCACTTTTCCATGTACAACTAGTGCCTATGGATGGTTCATCTTCACCAATGCACTTATGAGATGCCAACATGCAATGTTGCAAGAATTAAGGTTCATTTCTCACACTCAAACCTCTATTAGGCATTTCATCAAACAACTCATGTGCACTACAAAACTCTATCATAGCCATGATTCTAAAACTTTTCTTAACCATCCAAAATGGGGAAAAACCCCTTCGCAAAGTCACAAAACCTGCCATAGAAAACACTTCCAAAAAGGGAATACATAATACCCCTTAAATTCCATCTCAACTACCTTGCCAAACCAACAACCCATTTCTCAAATTTGCAAGGTATAAACAATCACAAAGCATAGAAATCTCTATTTAATCCTTCATACATGCTATATTACATGCACATCACATACATACATCATTTCTATCAAAACCCTAATCAAGAAAATTCATAAATCTCAACTTGGGTTGGGTTTTACTTACTTGTTAAGGAGAGACTTCACAAATTCTTCCTTTCACTTGTTTAGCTTGATATCTCCTCAAATCTTAGCCAAAAGAATGAAAACCCTCAAACTTCAATATGGGTTAAAACTCCCAAATCACACAACTTAAGAAGAAATCCTTACCTTAGGAAGCCTTAGGTTGCTTTTCTACCCCAAAATCCTTCAAAAATCCCTTGGAAATCCTTGATCAAAAGAAAAGAGAAGTTGAGAGGAGAAGAATGGAGAGTCACGTTTGAGAAGAAGAAATGAGGGGTTTCTTTGATTCTAATTCCTTTTAATGAAATATAAACACACTCATTCCCATTTTGCCCTTGTTCTACTTTGGGAATTCCATCCATATCCTTTGATTCATTACAAACTCACCCCTATCTCAACCTATTCTCCATGAAATATCCTTACAATTAACTCCCCACTTTTCCTGCTAATTAGGGGTAGAAAGGTCAAATTGTCCTTAAGGAAGAAAATATCTAAAACTCAATCAACCTTTTATTCGGCCCGTCGCCGCGGCGAAGAAACCTCTGTCGCCGCGGCGAAACTTTCCAGGGAGTTCCCCTTGGTTTCAACACATCTTCGCCGCGGCGAAGCTTCTTCTTCGCCCCGGCGAAGAACGGCAGACTGAACTTCTTCTGTTTTCATCCAATTTTCAGGGCAAACATTCAACACAACACTCAAACAAATAATAATAACAAAAACCAACTCGATTAGGGGCAAAAGAGGAAACAATAACAACGTACCTCAAGCGGGGCGTTACAATTTATTCCATAGATACTGGAGTTACCATCCATATGGAATCCTCTAGTGGGTCTGTCCAGTGAACTTGCCTATAGTAAGCACCCATGTGTTGCACCAGGTTGTCAGCAAACAACCTTGACAAGTGAGATTAGTCACTGCCTTTCGACAGGGTTGTTCAACACTATGATAGCCTTATCATATTATCTATGTCCTTGGTCAGAATAGTACTGGGGCTACGGACATTTCTAGAATGACTGCCATATGTAATCATCAGGTTCTCACTATTAAGATTTGAAACACTTGATACCCTCATCACGATTCTACCATCCTAAGGACATATATCAATCCATATAATATGATTTACGTGATATACTGGATAATGCCTTTTATTGATTAATAAACGTTATTACAAAGAGTCAATTCCACAATAATTGATTGGCTCTAGGGCACCTACTCCAACACCTTGAGCTTCTATCTGAGACAACAGAGCAGGACATTAAAAGGTCCAAACTAGTGTTTTTAGTTGATGCTAGCACTGGTGAAAGGAAAGGTAAAGGCAAAGATAAGGTTAAAGCTAAATCCAAGCCCAAACCCAAGTCCTCAGATACTCTCAAGTATATGGGAGATGTCAGGAAGGAAAGGAAAGGAAGACAGTTTGCTCTATTGTGGTGGGCCTAGCCATTGGAAGAGACACTACAAGTCCTTCCAAGCAAATGAGAAAAAGATTATTGCTGCATCTTCTTCTAAAGGTATATTCATGATTGAGATAAACTTATCTCCTAGCACATCTAGGGTCATTAACAGTGGATGTACATCACACATTTGTACTAATGTGCATGGACTGCGAAAGAGTAGATCGCTCAATTTAGAGGAGGTAGACCTACGTATTGGGAATGGAGCTAGAGTTTCTACTGTAGTTGTAAATGTTTATCAATTATCCTTGGCTTCGGGCCTTATCTTAGAACTTATGGATTGTTATTATGTACCTTCCTTTTCAAAGAATATTATTTATGTGTCTGCTTTGGATAGTTTTGGATAACATTTTGATATATCTATCAGATTGTTGTCTTTTAGTTTGAATGGTATTCATTATGGAAATGCTAGTTACACAATGGTTTATATGCTCTAGATATGGATAAAGGGATATTCATTCTTGAAAATAAGAAAGCCAAGCATGGCGATCTTAAGCAAACATTCCTCTGGCACTATAGGCTAAGTCATGTTAATCAAACTCGCATAGCAAAAAACTCTATAGGGACGGAGTCTTGGACCCATTTGATTTTCATTCTTCTGAGGTAGGCAAGTCATGCCTTTTAGGCAAGATAACAAAGTTGCCTTTCACTGGCAACAGTAAAAGATTTACAAAACTACTAGGGATCATCCATAGTGATGTATGTGGTCCTATGACAGTTCAAGCAAGAGAAGAATATTCTTACTTGATCACATTTATTGATGATTACAGTAGAAATGGTTTGACAAGTTCAAAGAGTTTAGAAATGAAGTACAAAACAAACTTGGAAATAGTGTTAAAGCTCTTTTGTCGCACCGAGGAGGTGAATACTGTTAGTAAACGGTCCCGTATACGCAGCGGAAACAAAACAAAATTAATGTAGAGATCGTTTACGTGAGCCAAGATCAAGGGTATAATTTTACAATTTTATCAAAGCAAGAATCTGCATAAATTAATAATCTGTGTTTAGAAACCATACGCACGTTTGGAGGCTCCACCACGATTGTNGAGCGATTAGCGCTCACCCTTTCATTGTTGATTGCTTTGCAGGTAGACTAGAAGCGAGGGATGCTAGAGACAGCGGGACTACACGTGAGGGGAGATGATTTATTGTCATCTCAATGTTTTTATCTTGATGTAAATAATGTAAATGATAAATATTTGTGAAATACATTTGGAAGCTTCCACCCTATAAATATGTTTTGATTGTGTAATTTCTTAAAGTTTATAAATTATAAGTTTGGATCCTACGTGACATTTTACATGCATGTTTTGGATATTATTATTATTATCCTGACACAGATTTTTTCTAAATACAACTTGTTCTCTAGACATGTATTCTCGGGATTCTCATTGAGGGATATTCAGAAGATACCTGACTGGAGGGGGGTTTTACAATTGGGTTGAGCATGAAGTAAAGACCAGAACAGCTCAGGTTGTGTTCTCAAGTAAGACAAAAAATATAAACTAAAATTTTGGTTCATTTTGGTCCTTTAGGTGAAGCATGACACCCATCACCTCCCCCCACCCCACCAAAAGAAATAATAATTAAATAATTAAAATGTCAGTTTTCAATTAAAAAGGCTATTCAAATACAATTATTTCATATCCATGGTTTTATGTCATTCCAGAAAATCATGAATTATTTCAAAAATCTTACAATTTACTGATACAGAGAAGTCTTTATTCACCCAAAACCTTTCTTTTCTTTATAGACTACAATTTGCTCTTATTTTCACCTTGATGCACCACAGCCCTACAAATTTGATAATGTTTGAGAATCAAGTACAGTTTTTCCACATATAATTAAAAAAAATAAAGTTGGGGTTAATATCTATATCCCTAACTCACATGATCTCAGATTATTTCAACCACCCTGAAAAAATATTATAAAAGTCTAAAAATGTTTAGGTTCTAACTCTGAAGTAACTAATTCTTCGTTCAAAAAGCTTTATTTGTAATTTTAATTTCAGAAGAGCCTAAAGAGCAAAAATCATTCAATTAACAGGAATCATTCATATACTGACATACNTGTCAAACTACACCAATCGGTGCACAAGGCGCTCCAGTGATCTCAAGTCTAAGGATCACATGCACCACCATTGGCCCTTATAGAAGGAGACCAGATTAGCTCTGTAATGTTGGGTCCCGATTGGAGGACATTACTGATGACCCGATTGGAGAGATTTGTGGGGGGACATCATCCCACTATCACCAGAGATGTTATGTCGGGTCATCAGCCCTCCCAAACATATAGTGAAGCACTCGCCAGAGCCATCAGAGCAGAGGTGTACTTACAGAAGGAGACCAGATTAGCTCTTTCCCCAACAGTGGCAAGTAGTCCTCTCCAGCTTGGCCAATCCAGTAGTGCAGAACAAGTTGTTGGCAAAGACGATAAGGGTAAAGGCAAGAAAAGAGTTCTAACTAAAGCCAAAAGGAAGGACATGAAGAAAAAGGGCCAACAAAGGAAAGGTGAGGTCAGTTACTGTAAGAAATGTTGGAGAAGACACCGGGGTGAATGTCTAGTAGGGACCAATGTTTGTTTCAGGTGCCACCAGCCAGGTCATATTACTAGAGATTGCCCCATTGGTTCTGCAACTTCAGTACCTGCAGTTGGAGGCACGACAGCCAGGGTATATAATATGGCCCAGATGCAGGCAGATGCCAGCCCTTCAGCAATCAGTGGTCAGTTATTATTCCATGATACTCCCTTGTATGCCTTGATTGATTCTAGTGCTACTCATTCATTCATCTCCTATGGTATGATTAAAAGATTAGGGTTAATGCCTATTAGAATAGAACAAGCCATTAAGATTGAATTGCCTGATGGTGAGGGTGTAGTGACCTATGAAGTCTTAATGGGGGAGTTAGTGACTATTAAAGGCCGAGATATGATGGTAGATTTGATTGTCTTCAATATGCCAAACTTTGACATCATTCTTGGGATGGACTTTCTTAGTAGATATGGAGCAGAGATAGACTGTCGTAGGAAAAAAGTCAAGTTTAATCTAGACAATGGGGATAACTTCATTTTTGGAGAAGGGCACCCAACTAGCATGATGATTAGTGCAGCAAAAGCTAGAAAGATGTTGAAAATGGGGTGTTCTGGGTACATTGCACATGTAGTAAGGGAGAGAGTTCGAGCTCAAGTGTACATGAGGTACCTGTGGTAAATGAATTTATTGACGTGTTTCCAGATGAATTGCCAGGTTTACCTCCAGAAAGGGAAGTAGAGTTTAGTATAGAACTAGCCCCCGGTAGAGCACCTATTTCTAAGGCTCCTTATCGCATGGCCCCAGCTGAGCTCCAAGAGTTGAAGAAGCAAGTTACAAGAGTGGTTAGACAAGGGCTTTATCAGGCTGAGTCATTCCCCATGGGGTGCTCCAATTCTATTTGTGAAAAAGAAAGATGGATCTATGAGGATATGTATAGATTATCGTGAACTGAATAAAGTAACAGTAAAGAATAAGTACCCATTGCCTAGGATAGATGATTTGTTTGACCAATTAAAAGGTGCCTCAGTGTTTTCAAAAATTGATCTAAGGTCAGGATACCATCAGGTTAGAGTGGCTAAGGAAGATATACCGAAAACGGCTTTCCGAACAAGGTATGGGCATTATGAATTTGTTGTGATGCCATTCGGATTGACTAATGCACCTGCAATTTTTAAGGACTTGCTGAACGCTAGTTTTTCATGATGTCCTTGACAAGTTCATAGTGGTGTTTTATTGATGATATCCTAGTTTATTCCAGACTTTAGAAGAACATGCCGAGCATTTGAGATTTGTGTTTACAAATTGCGAGAAAACAGCTGTATGCCAAATTTTCAAATGTGAGTTTTGGTTGGATCAAGTTACCTTTTTGGGCATGTGATCTCTAAACGGTGTATCAGTGGATCCTAGTAAAGTAAAGCGGTGCTCAAGTGGCAGAGGCCAAAGACAATAAAAGAGGTTAGAAGTTTTCTAGGCTTAGCAGGGTACTATAGAAGTTCATGGAAGGCTTTGCAAAGATAGCCAGACCCACTTACAGCTCTCACCAGAAGAAGTACCATTTGAATGGACTGAGGCATGCGACAAAGCTTTCAGGTTGAAGAAATGTACCACCTACTGAAAACTGTACAATGCATGCATATAACAATAAAAAGTTGGGCCCAAGTTTTCTTTTCATACAAACTCATGTGTCTTTATACATAAAGAGTACTGTTTACAAAATGTATTTTAAAAGACAAACAGGGGAAACAGTGTACTATTCCTCATTGCTTGCCGACGCCCTCCGACCGCAACATCACCTAGAACCTGCATCCACAAGGAAAATAACGGGTAGCCAAAATAATGCTCAGTAAGTAAAACCTCTATCTGTCTGTCCCCGTATGAATAACTCTTAATTCTTTCCTATGCTATCTCTGATTCTATTTCTGTTTCTAATAACATCATGGCCCATCTTACCGGAGGTACGGCCGGATGGCGTTCACACAGCACCATCTCACTTTCTATGGCTATGCGGTGGAATTCACACAGTACCAACCCGTTCTTAGTGACTACCGTGAGGATCCAAAGCACCAACTCGGTTCTTCTAACTATCGGGTGGAGATCACCTAGCGCCTACCCGTTCCTCATGAATTTTGGGTAACGATCACCAAGCATTTACCCGTCTCTAGTCACTATCGGGTGATGGTCACAAGCATCAACCCGTTTCTACTAAGTGTTGGATGTGATCACAAAGCACTCACTACTTATCTATCACTAACCGGGTAGCGGTCACAAAGCATCTACCCATTTCTACTACTCATCGGTGCGATCACAAAGCATCGACCCATCACTCTAAGGGCTATTCGGATGATGATCACCAAGCATCAATCCGATTCCCATAACGGTCGGGTGATGATCACAAGCATCATCCCAACTATACTACTCTTCTAATTCATTCTATTGTAGCATTTTTCAATGCTCCTACTCTTAGAGTAATTTTACCCACTAAGCTCTCTACTCATAGGGTTTGCTAAACCATTTCCTTACACTTTCTTAGATCACTTTTCCATGACAACTAGTGCCTATGGATGGTTCATCTTCACCAATGCACTTATGAGATGCCAACATGCAATGTTGCAAGAATTAAGGTTCATTTCTCACACTCAACCTCTATTAGGCATTTCATCAAACAACTCATGTGCACTACAAAACTCTATCATAGCCATGATTCTAAAACTTTCTTAACCATCCAAAATGGGGAAAAACCCCTTCACAAAGCCACAAAACCTACCATAGAAAACACTTCCAAAAAGGGAATACATAAACCCCTTAAATTCCTCTCAACTACCTTGCCAAACCAACAACCCATTTCTCAATTTGCAAGGTAACAATCACAAAGCATAGAAATCTCTATTTAATCCTCATACTGCTATATTACATGCACATCACATACATACATCATTCTATCAAAACCCTAATCAAGAAAATCATAAATCTCAACTTGGGTTGGGTTTTACTTACTTGTTAAGGAGAGACTCACAACTTCTTCCTTTCACTGTTTAGCTTGATATCTCCTCAAATCTTACCAAAGAATGAAAACCCTCAAACTTCAATATGGTTAAAACTCCAAATCACACAACTTAAAAGAAATCCTTACCTTAGGAAGCCTAGGTTGCTTTCTACCCCAAAATCCTTCAAAATCCCTTGGAAATCCTTGATCAAAAGAAAGAGAAGTTGAGAGGAAAGAATGGATTCACGTTGAGAAGAAGAAATGAGGGGTTTCTTTGATTCTAATTCCTTTTAATGAAATATAAACACACTCATTCCCATTTTGCCCTTATTCTACTTTGGAATTCCATCCATATCCTTGATTCATTACAAACTCACCCCTATCTCCCCTTTCTCCATGAAAATCCTTACATTAACTCCCCACTTAACTCCCACTTTTCCTGCTAATTAGGGGTAGAAAGGTCAATTGTCCTTAGAAGAAATATCTAAAACTCAATCAACCTTTTATTCGGCCCGTCGCCGCGGCGAAGAAACCTCTGTCGCCGCGCGAAACTTTCCAGGGAGTTCCCCTTGTTCAACACATCTTCGCCACGGCGAAGCTTCTTCTTCGCCCCGCGAAGAACGGCAGACTGAACTTCTTCTGTTTTCATCCAATTTTCAGGGCAAACATTCAACACAACACTCAAACAAATAATAAAACAAAACCAACTCGATTAAGGCAAAAGAGGAAACAATAACAACGTACCTCAAGCATGGCGTTACAAGAAAAGATTAACTACAACTTCAATTCTTACATTGCCAGAAGAAGGCATTGATTATGATATTTACATTGATGCTTCCCACATGGTTAGGAGCAGTGTTGATGCAGCAAGGGAAAGTCATTGCTTATGCCTCTAGACAATTGAAAGACTATGAGAGCAGATATCCTACCCATGACTTGGAATTAGCAGCAGTGGTTTTTGCTTTGAAGATATGGGCGACACTACTTGTATGGAGTGAAGCAACATATACACTGACCATAAGAGTTTGAAGTATTTCTTCACTCAGAAAGAGTTGAATAGTGAGACAGCAGATGGTTAGAATTGGTGACAGACTAGACTGTGACATTAGATACCATCCAGAAAGCTAATGCAGTAGCGATCCCTTAGTAGAAAAGTCCTTTATCTCAAATCACTGTACAGGGACAATTACAGTAGGAGATCCTCCAAGAAGGAATTGAAATTGTGATCAAAGGAGGATTGGCCCAAATGGAGATCAAACCCACTTTGGTGGAGGAGATCAAGATGAAACAGGGTAAAGATGATACCTGCAAGATAATCTGCCACGGATATAGAGGGTAAAGACGACTTTAAATAGTCAATGGGGCACTGATGTTTAGAGATAGAATATGTGTACCTCAAGATGATGAACTAAGGAATAAAATCCTTAGTGAGGCACACAATACACTTTATACAGCCCACCTTGGAAGAGTAAAAATGTATCAAGATGTGAGGAAAAGTTTATAGTGGTCACGTATGAAACAACATTGCCGATTATGTTGCCAGATGTTTAACATGTCAACAAGTAAAGGCAGAGCATCAGAGACCATCAGGATTACTCCAACCCTTAAGATTCCTAAATGGAAATGGTAGGATATCTCAATGGACTCATAGTAGGACTTCCTAAAGTTCAGCAAGTGTATATACATTTGGGTGGTGGTTGATAGATTGACCAAGACAGCTCATTTCTACCTATGACGGATAGATAGATGCATTTCGATTGGGCAATTATATGTCAAGAGATTGTGAGATTACATGGATTACCCAAGACGATCGATTCAGACAGAGATACCAGGTTCATATCAGCTTTCTGGTTGGAATGCAGAGAGCATTGGGTACAAAGTTAGCCTTCAGTACGGCTTATCATCCTCAAACTGATGGCCAAACTGAAAGGACCAACCAGGTGTTGAGACATGCTGAGAGCTTGTTGTATGGATCACAAGGCAAAGGAGTGTTGTACTTCCACTAATAGAATTTGCCTATAACAACAGCTACCATCCCACTATCCAGATGGCCCCATATGAAGCATTATATGGAAGAGTGCAAATCTCTTTGTATTGGGATGATATTAGAGAAAAAGACTCATTGATTCAAGTATTGGACCAGAGATGACCCAGAAAACGATTGAAGATGTTAAGCTTATTAGAGAAAGAATGAAGCAAGCTCAAGATCGACAAAGAGCTATGCCGACCTAAAACGAAAAAAGTGGAATTCCAAGTGGCGACAAGTTTTTGTAAAAGTTGCACCTTATAAACTATTATAGATTTGGAAAGAAAGCAAGCTCGCTCCACGTTACATTAGACCCTTTGAAGTATTGGAAAGGGTAGGCAAAGTAGCTTATGACTTGCGCTGCCAATGAGCATGGAAAGAGTCCATAATGTTTTCCATGTCTCATTGTTCGTAAGTATGTTAGTGATCCTTCACATGTGCTTCAGATGGAGAAGTGGAATTATAGGATAATTGCTTATGAGGAACGCCCAGTTCAAATCCTTACAGAAAGGTAAAAGAGCTCAGAACAAGCAAATTCCACTAGTTAAGTACTTTGGAGGAATCACAAGATAGAAGAAGCTACTTGGAAATGGAGCAAGATATGAAAGATCGATCCCTAGAGCTGTTTCTATAATTTCGAGGACGAATTATTGTAAGGGGGAGGAAATGTAATACCCAGATGTCAAAGGTATGTTCCTAACTCAAATAGTCCTTTAAATGTTAATTTTATGTTAAAAAGCATAAAATCTAACTAAGGGCAAAATAGTCAATTCATTTGGAACGGTATGAATCAATTATCCATAGAAAGCTTAGGGGCAAAATGGTTATTTTGCCTATGATAAGCATTGAAAAGTCAAGGATGAGTAGGCTTCATTTCATTTAATGGCATTAATTAAGTAATAATTATGTCTAGTGTGAAATGACCAAATACCTTATAT